AAATTTTGCCATTCCCCCCATTAAAAAAAAAAAAATTTAAAATAACAAATTTCGTTCGATTTATTATTTTTTTCCAGAATATCATCACCAGCTGTTGTTAAACGGTCCCTTGTGGTTGCCAAGCTAGGTTAGGTTGGGGGGGGGGGGAGAGCGAGCTGATTCCCCAGCACCTCCATTTCTTAGTTCGACCCTTTAGATTGCATACGTAGAGTCCTCAGATACACTCACTATATTACAATCGTGTTCACCTGATATCTGTACCCAACAAAAACACGATTGACAGTAAAAAAAAACCAGAATCTTCTTTTGTGTGTTCCCTCGAGGCAAAGAACGGGTTCATTAAATACAGTGACGTCATGCGTTTTAATGCCATTGTACCCCGTGGACTCGAGCCTCTCTATAATCCAAGGCTCTTGGCTTCCTATCTTCTATCCTGATGTTTATGGGTTAATGTTTGGTGCGCTTGCTATGAATATGTGTACGACTAATTCAGGACCAGATGTTGACAAAATGCGGGCGGATTCACTAAAGGTTTAGATTAGAGATCCCCCCCCCCCCCACCCCGGGAGAAGTGCCCCACTCCTTTACCTATAGGCCAGTGATGACAGTACAAAAGAACACAGTTTCTATTGATTCATGGGTTTTAAAGTATTTTTTTTTAAAATTTTATGGGTTTATGTTTGGTGCGCTTGCTATGAATATGTGTACGAATAATTCAGGACCAGATGTTGACAAAAGGCGGGCGGATTCACTAAAGGTTTAGATTAGAGATCCCCCCCCCCCCACACCCCGGGAGAAGTGCCCCACTCCTTTACCTATAGGTCAGTGATGACAGTACAAAAGAACACAGTTTCTATTGATTAATGGGTTTTAAAGTATTTTTTTTTAAAAAGTGGGACAAGAGGGAAAGTAGCCACATTGTGTTGTTCAAATCACGAGGTGGTCCCCAGAGATGGCAGTGATGAGTAGCGAAGTTAAAGGCTGACTTTAGACTTCTCTACTAAACTGCCTTCTTATGTCCCCGAATTAAGACTTCTTTAATAGACTGTCTTCTCATGTCCCCGAATTAAGACTTCTCTACTAGACTGTCTTCTCATGTCCCCAGTTAAGACTTTTCTACTAGACTGCCTTCTCTTTTCACCGACTTTAGACTTCTCTACTATAAGAGGGGACCTTAAAATTGTTCTGGACTGTACCTCGGGAGATTTAGTGTTTTGGCTCCGATGTGATGGCACTGATGTGATGACACTGATATTCTGAAACATATTTGATGACACTGATGTGATGACACTGAAATGCTGACACTGATTTGATGACACTAATGTGATGACACAGATGTGATGACACATATGTGATAACACTGAGGTGATGAAACCGATGTGATAACACCGATGTGATGACACCGATGTGATGACACCAATGTGATGGCACTGATCTGATGACACTGATGTGATCACATTGATCTTCATTCTGCTTTGAACCTACTAAGCTACCCACTGTCACCAATTCAGTAGGTCAACAACCACTACCACCTAAATTAACGTTTGCTCTTTTTGTCCTTGTAACACATGATTATCTCAACACGTAGTCAAATGCACATGCCTTTAACTTCGTCGCACTTTTTCGTTTCATTAATCTTTCTTTTTTTCGCTCCCCCATTTTTTAAAATTTTTATTATTATTA